GTTCTCAGTACAGCATATCTTAGTAAATAGTTACAGACTTCTTGGTAAGCCATGAAAGGCTGTTCTTATTCTACAAAAGTTGCTCTCATTCTACTGATAATCGCCATCCAAACAAGTCTGGGAAAACTGTGTGGGTACGGGTCCCAGCCTTGCTAGCTCCTACAGGTGCAAGGACCTTGCCAGCTTATATCTGGCCCCCAACACCTCCGTACTTCTGCACTTTACTTCTGCACCTCCTCTGAGCCTCACTGTGCTTTTATCTCTTTCCTTCTGGTTGTAGAATTTCCACTCAGCCAGCCTTCCTGTGGTTCTGGATGATGTCCGTTTTGTCTTTTAGTTGTATTTTTGAAGTGGTTGCTTGAGGCAGCAATTTCAGGTGTTTACCTATGCCACCATCTTGGTTTCTCTCTGACTATGTGATTTTTATCTCTCAATTTATTTATATGATTTATCACATTTATTGATTTGCAGATATTGTACCATCATTGCATCCCCAGGATAAATCCTACTTGGTCATGGGGTATGATCGTTCTGATATATTGCTGGATCCGATTTACTAGAATTTTGTTGAGGATTTTGGCATCTATGTTCATGAGGGATATTGGCCTATAATTCTCTTGCATTGTGTTGTCTTTATCTGGTTTTGGTATTAGGGTGATGCTGGTTTCATAGAATGAGATTGAAAGTGTTCCTTCCTCTTGAATTTTTTTAGAATAGTCTGAGGTTTTAATTCTTCCTTGAATGTTTGGTAAAACTCCCCTGTAAAGCCGTCTGGCTCAGGCTTTTGTTTGCTGGTAGATTTTTGATGACTGCTTCAATTTCTTGAATAGTTATTGGCCTATTGAGATTTTTAGAATCTTCCTGATTGAGTTTTGGAAGGTAGTGTTTTTCTAGGAATATGTCCATTTCCTCCAGGTTGTCTAGTTTGTTGGAGTAGAGTTGTTCATAGTATTTTTTAACAATCCTTTGAATTTCTGTGGGGTCTGTTGTTATTTTGCCTCATTCATTTCCGATTTTGTTTATTTGAGTCCTCTCTCTCTGCTTCTTGGTGAGAATGGCTAGAGGTCCATCAGTCTTATTTATCCTTTCAAATAACCAGCTCTTGGTTTCATTTATTTTTTGTTTTGTTTTTTTTGGTGTTTTTTTTTTGGTCCATATGTCATTTATTTCTGCTCTGATCTTTATTATCTCCTTCCTTCTGCTCACTCTGGGCTTTTCTTGTTGCTCTCTTTCTAGTTCTCTGAGTTGTAGAGTTAGATGAGTTACTACCATTTTTTCTTGTTTTTTCAGGTAGGCCTGTAGAGCTATAAACTTCCCTCTCAGGACTGCTTTCATTGTGTCCCTAGATTTTTTATTGTGTTTTTAGTGTTATTATTTTCCAGGATGTTTTTAATTTGTTCTTTGATCTCATTGGTAACTAAATCATTATTAGTAGCATGCTATTCAGCTTCCAAGTGTTTGAGTTTTTTGGATTGTTTTTATTGTAGTTTATTTCTAATATTACGCCATTGTGGTCTGAGAAGATGCTTGGTATGATTTCAATCTTCCTGAATTTGGGTAGACTTTGCTTGTGACCCAATATGTGGTCTATTTTTGAAAATGTCCCATGTGCACTTGAGAAGAACGTATATTCCGTGGCTTTGGGGTGAAATGTTCTGAAGATGTCAATTAAGTCCATCTGATCTAATGAGTCATTTAGGATTGCTGTTTATTTGCTGATTTTTTTGTCTAGAGGATTTATCCAGTGATGTCAGTGGTGTGTTTAAGTCCCCTACTATGATTGTATTGTTGTCGATCTCTCCCTTGATATCTTCCAGGAGTTTTTTTTTTTATGTATTTGGGTGCTCCTGCATTGGGTGCCTATATGTTTATCAGGGTTATATCCTCTTGTTGTATCGATCCTTTTGGTATTATGAAGTGGCCTTCCTTATCTCTTGCTATGGCCTTCACTTTGAGGTCTATTTTGTCAGATATAAGTATTGCTACCCCAACTTTTTTTTCATTTCCATTTGTCTGAAAGATATTTTTCCATTCCTTCACTTTAAGTCTGTGTGAGTCCCTTGTTCTGAGGTGGGTCTCTTGTAGACAGCATATATATGGGTCGTGTCTTTTTATCCATTCAGCCATTCGATGTCTTTTAATTGGAGCATTTAGTCCGTTTATGTTTAAAGTTATTATTGAAAGGTACCTGTTTGTAGTCATTTCTATTTTTGTGCCTGTGTTCTTTCTTACCTTTTTATTTCTTCTTTTTACAGCATTCCCTTTAGCATTTCTTGCATTGCTGGCTTGGTAGTGATAAACTCCCTTAGCCTTTTTTTGTCTGTGAAGCTCCTGATTTCCCCTTCAATTCTGATTGATAGTCTTGCTGGACAGTGTATTCTTGGATTCAGTCCTTTGCTTTGCAACACTTTGTATACTCCTTCCGTTCCCTTCTAGCTTGATGTGTTTCTGTTGAGAAATCATTTGATAATCTCTTGGGGGATCCTTTGTAGGTAATTCTCTGTCTCTCGCAGCCTTTAAGATTCTCTATCATGAAGATTTGCCATTGTAATTATGACGTGTCTTGGTGTGGGTCTTTTGGGATTCATCTTGCTTGGGACTCTCTGTAGTTGTGTAACTTTTTTCTTCCCATATCTGGGAAGTTTTCTGTCATTATTTCTTCAAATAGATTTTCTAATCCTTGCTGCTCTTCTTGTGCTTCTGGCTGCCCTATTATGCGTATGTTACTTCATTTCATGTTGTCCCAAATCTCCCTTAAGTTCTCCTCCTGCTTTTTAGTGTTTTTCTCTAGTTTTGGTTTAGACTGAGCTTGTTTCTCTACCATATCTTCTAACTCACTAATTCAGTCCTCTGATTCTTCTAGTGTACTGTTGAAACCTTCCATAGTGGGTTTTTTTCCCCCAAAATATATTTTATTGATACTTTACAGAGAGGAAAGGAGAGGGATAGAGAGTTAGAAGCATCGATGAGAGAGAAACATCAATCAGCTGCCTCCTGCACACCTCCTACTGGGGATGTGCCCGCAACCAAGGTACATGCCCTTGACCAGAATTGAAACTGGGACCCTTCAGTCCTCAGGCAGACGCTCTATTCACTGAGCCAAACCTGTTAGAGCTTCCATAGTGTTTTTGATTGTAGCTATATCACTTTTCATTTCTTCCTGATTCTTGCATAGGTTGTTGATTTTCTCATCCATCCTGTGAATGAATTGTACAACCATTACTCTGAATTCTTTTTCTGTCATGTTGCATGCTTCAATTTCACTAATTTCCTTTCTTGGCGATTCCCAATTTTCTTTCCTCTGGGGATAGTGTCATCTCCCCATTCTATCACCAGAAGGTTCAAACTTCAAGTTGTGTGGGCCTAGGCCATGTGCAGTGGGAGCTTCACAACACCCTAGTGTCACTGAAGAGCTCCGGCACTAAGATGTGTGGCTTCCATGAGTTGGTAGGAACCAGGCTCACCCAGAGTCAGCGTTACCAGCGCTCAGTGTGGCCTCATGTGCACACTTAGAATCAGGGACCCTGCCTGCAACATGCTGAAACAGAGACCCCCCTAGCATGTGCCGAAAATCAGAGCCCCCTAGCGTGTGCCAGGAGTCAGAGTTCCCCAAGAATCCAGTATCAGAGTCTCTTGCTTCATGCGACCTTGCGCTGAGAATCAGGGTCCCTGTGGGTGCATGTACCAAGAATTGGAGTCACTGGCTCTTAGTGTGAATGCACTGGGAGTCAGGGATCCCAGGCGCACGTGATAAGAAACAGAATCAAGTCACTGGTGCTCAGTGCTGTCTCCCGCCCGGAGAATCGGGGTCCCGGTCAGCTTGGGGGACTGGCTTGCAGAGTAGCACTGTTTCTACAGGAGGTCATAACCTGCGCTGCGGAAAACAGATTTAAGTGTGCGCTTGCCCAGAATCGAGGTCAGGTGGCACTGCCACTCTGCATGGGCTTCGGGTTTGGTTGTGGGGAACAGATTCCCAGTGTCCACACACTCCCAGGCTCAAATACCTTTAGCGGTGTTGCGGGGAACAGATTCCCAGTGTCCGCTCGCTCTCAGGCTCAAATTCTTGTAGCAGCGCTGCAGCCCGTGTACGAGGGGCAGGTCTATCAGTTACTATGGAGCTGCCCGCGAGCTTGCGGGGAGGGGGATAGGCTCTGTGACTCACAGAGATCTGCCACCGGGATGTCTGGGTTCTTGGTGTCTGTGGGTCTGCAGCTGTGGTCACAGGACTCTGTCCCCAGTGGCTGCAGGGTCCTGGTTTGCGTCTGAGACCAGACTGGGTGGTGCTGAGGCCAGGATCTTAGTCTCAGGCAGCTCTGTTTCTCAAGATGGCGTGGTCTCTGTGCCTGTGCTGGCCACCCAGGAGTGTCCATGCTGGGAGCAGGGCTCCACCATCTAAGACTGCCCGGTTTGGCAGCCCCTTGGAAGACCTGCAGAATCTAGCTGTCCCTAGCTCATGCACACACACACACCACACACATCCACACACTCCTCTATCGCTCCCTCACTCTCTCACACTCTCTCCCTCCCTACCTTCCTGCCAGTCACCATCTTCAGGTCTAATTTTAAAAGTCTGATCTTTGGGAGAATGCTAAGAATTTGCTATTTCATAACAAGGAAAGTAATCTTTTCACAGGGAATAAGTTTCTGTAAACAGAGACATTAATGTTTTACATGCAATTTTATTATTTAAATTAAATTTATTGGGGTGACATTGATTAATAAGATTACATAGGTTTTAAGTAGAATATTATACTAAGCAAAATAAGTCAGACAGAAAAAGTTAAGGGCAATATGATCTCACTCATATGTGGGATATAAAACTGAAAGCAATAAATGAATAAAAAAAACCTCATAGTCAATAGCTCAGTTCTACATTTCATATCTAAAACTGTATTCCAAATAGAAATATGGGGCTTAGCTTTCTCAGTAGAAAATAACCATTCAGTAGTTTCTAAAAGTAAATTTAAATACGAATTTACAGGAAAACAATATTTCTTGTGTAAAAGTCATATTTATGAATCAAAGGCATAAACCAAAACGAAGATTATTAAAGTTGACCATGATATTGATAATTAAGTCATATCAATCTGGTAAGATAATACCAGCTAAAGCTAATGAAGATGAGTTGCTTTAAATTTCTCAGGAAAACACACTAATTCTAACACCATTAATTAGAACCTTTCAAGTGATGGAGGAAATATAAACACCTGAACTTGGAGGCAAAGAAATGTAAAGTATAAGTGTGCTGCTATCTGATGTGTCACAGAAATGGTAGTGCCCTTTAGTCTTGGGTACCTTAGGTCAGAGACTGTTACCACCATCTGGCAACTCTGATGGGTGCCATCCAACTCGTGGCTGGAATTAAATTACACAATGCCTATCAGAACAGAGAGAGACTAATGAAAACATTTTACCTTATTGATGCAAATTATGCAATCAAATCACATAAACCTTGGCTCAGAAGGGGCCAGTTCAAAGGGGTCAATTTCTCATTTTATAACAGTACATCAAAACAGAAAATCCACAGTGCCTTTCAAAGCCCTACATTAAGAAAAACAATAATCAGGAGGAACAAGCAAACATTGTTTCATTTACAATTTACTAGCTCTTCCAGTGTTTCATAGAGAGAAGAAAGTTTCAATGATCTTACATGATGATAGGGACAAAAGGTGGACTTATACAATACTGGACAAATGTCTAAATTGAATCAGACTATTGGTATAGCTTTTCGGTCAATGGGTAATATGGGGCAGTTTTCCAAACCAGGCAATCTAGTAGCTCACAGAGGGTAATGTAAATATCCTAAAATGAAAGAAAAAAAATTTACTTTCAACCCAATTATCAATATCTGTATTCACTTGCACACATTCTAATCTATTCTACTAATAAAGACTTTCATATGTTCCCACTATGCCCTAATCACTTTTCAAAGTGCCAGAGTAACAGCACTAAAGCACCGCCTCTGCCATTATGGAGTATAAGGTCTTATTTTATACCATATATACACCTATTTTTGATAGTTCTTTAATAAACTATATTTTTTCAAAGAAAAAATGTGAAGGTGCTCTAGGGATTAATTCAGCTAGCAACAGTCCTTACATTTTACCATTTAAATACTGAAGTTATTGAAATATACATTTCCCCCAAATCCAGTTCCTGGTTAGTCCAGATGAGTTTATGTCTCTAGATGATTGTGATAATGAGAACTAGGCCAAAGCTTAGGGGAAATGCCACTATTGGTCAAGAGCAGAATGTACTTCCCAGGGAACCTCATTTCTCTTCACCAGGGATGAGGGCCATATAAGGTCTGCAAAATCATTTGATCTGGCCCTGCCAAGGCAACCACAGGCAGGACTTGAAATTCAACAAATCTAGGAGCTTTTTTCATAGCAACATAAATTTATATTAAGTGAATTATGTTAAGCCAATGATGTTATAAATATACAAATGGCCCTTGGCAGAAAAAAAGGTTCCCCAACCCTGCTCTTCACTCTAGGTTCAAATTTGTTAGAAAGGGGACCATCACTCAGGATCTTCAGGCTGGACATGTGTCGGTAAACCAAAAGAGGCCCTTCTGTCCTTTTTGGTCATGCCTTGAATTTAGAGACCTGAGCTGTCTATGTGGGGCTAACAGTACCAATAAGATTTGAAGGCACTACTGGACAATACCTTTTTGGCAAATTTACTCCATCTATCACATGCACAGGCTGAAGCAAATACCAACACTGATATAGTGGAGGACCAAAATGAACATACCTTAAAGATGGAAAGGAGTAAGCATATGTAATGTTGGTTACACTATCTCATACTGGTTGTTTGTTATAGCGCGAGAGAGGCAGTAGGCGAGAAAGATTCCAATCAGCTGGAAATAAAATACAAGCAAAATTAAATACACACACCAAAGAGCTTAAAGACCTCAGGGTGTAGGTATAGTCTCCTTAACTTCTAATTCACTAATGACTTCCTTCCTGAAGTTTTTTTGGATAGTTATGTTTGATACTATGCAGCATCTAGGTCACATTCAAAGGATATAAGCGAAGTTCTACTACTACTGTGACCTGGAATTTCACAACTGTAACTGACAAAAATCACCCAAGGGAAAGTCTAAATATCATAGTTTTGGGGAAACTTTTCTTCCTCTTCCTCTGTTATCAGAACAAAAAGGGTATGACTTAGAATAAGAATCTCATCCAGTAAAATTTCCATCTGTGAGGACAGAGATTTTCCTGGAGGGTCTAGAGCAGCATTGCAGTGCTGGCAATGGTGTGTAATACCAATACCTCTCCTGTCCAATAAGATCACCACTGACCACCTGTGGCTTTTCAAAATTTCAAATAGGGGTAGAGTAACTGAAGAAACAAAATTTAAATTTTATTTAAGAAACAGAACCTTTAAAATGTAGCTAGTGGATATTTTCTTAGACAAAGCAGATTCAGATATAGCTATGCCTACTACTTTAGAAATATATTAAGATTAGACTTCATCAATTACATAGGTCAAAATGCTTTTAGTCTTATCTCCACAATGTTTAATAGGAAAAATACCCCCTAAGTAAGTTGTCTAGAGCCACAATATAGACTTTTCATGCTACAGTGAGACATAGCAAAACTCCAGAAATACAACTTGAATCCACAACATAGTACCCACCTAAAATAATAGGCACATATTGAATGTGAGTTTGTATGATCTAAATTTTAATAGTCTGGGACTTACATGCAACTCATCGGAGTTGCAGCTCAGGAAAAAAGAGATTCTAATAATGTTTTAGAATCTTGACTGACTGCAGAGCAAAGCAAGGTTCCGGTCTATCTCATATTTTGTTTAATGAACTGTGATGCTGGAAAGATGCCATAACTAAGAGGGCACCAGGTCTTTCTACAGTTAACTGCTTTACAAAGATATACACGGCTAGAAGTTAATTTTAAGCCTTGCTTTTTGTAGTTTCAAGGAATGACTGGCCATGTAAAAAGAAGAGGTAAAATGGTAATAAAAACTTAAATCTGTAGTTATGGAAAAATGTAAGAGCTAAGACATCAAAAAATTGGAATGAAAAAGCCAAAATATTCCTTTCCAAATAAGCTAAATAAAAACCCAATCATAAATGATTTACTACATATGCTTCATGTACTGTGATGAGCAACTGAGAGTTGTGAAAATGTAACTTCTCTGAAAATGCCCACTATCCAAGGCCCTGAAGTGAAAACCTGAAGCCTTCAAAGTGGAAATCTTCTAGCTGACACCTATAAGAGTGATGAAACAGTTCCTAAATACATGGATTTACCTGGAAACAAGCAACTCCAAAGGAAATTCCAGCAACAACTCCCATTTCTGATTCTATAATGGTCATCACCTTTATAAAACAACCCTAATGGGAGAGAAAAAAACTATTAAGTACAGCACAAGCAATAATATTTTGATCATACATGTTGGCAGAAAGATGAGCTTTGGATACACTAGCCTTTTTCCATTTTATTAAAGTTTACTCTTTCATGTAACAAACACTGTCTCCTTTCAAGCACAGTGTTTTTGGTAGAACTTTGAGGAACAGAAGTTCCACCTTTTGGATTATACATTTAAAAAGCGTTTCTTGCTAGTTGTATGAACTCAAGTCACACCTTTTCTGAGTTTCAACTTCCTCATTTATTCAATGAGAATAATACCTGCCTTATTTCGGATTATGTGTATTGTGATTAAAAACTAAAAAGTGAGGCAACTCTGTATTCAGTTAATATCTTCAAAAAAATTATAAAAGGCTCCTTACTTCATTGTTTACTTTATCAGCATCCCTCTGAGGAGAACAATCTTCAACTTTACAGCAGCTCTTGGGAAATCCTTTTTCTATGTAATAATTAGTATCCTTCCAATCTCTAAAGTCTGTGGCACCACAACAATGTAACTGAAAAATCCCAACAAAAACAATGATACTTCACATTACAACTTTGTAGTCAAACATTTAACCTATCATCTTAGATTATAATTTGTGTTCCAAACAACATTGGGACGGGGACAGGTGCAGGGTGGAGGGGGTCAATGGGGGAAATAGGGGACATTGGTAATACTTTCAACAATAAAGATAAATTTTAAAAAACATTTATTATATGTAATTATTTTTTGTGTGGCTGTCCTTAATTGGCATTATAATTCAAAAGACGAACACTTGTTTCAAACACCAAATGTTTCTAACATTTTTGGACTGGCCTTACTTTCCTGCTATTGTTGGTGCTAACAGGACTTGGGCCGTGATGTCAGTGGGGAATGAAGTGTTGCACATGTGAGGAGAATGATGAGGAGAAAATGGAGATACGTCCCTTAGTATCATCATACTCTTCTTTTCAGGGAAATATCTTCATTCTCTACTGATCTAAGATTATAATGAGAGCATAGGACAAGTGTACCCTATCTTCTTCTCTCAGGGGATAGGGACTGTGCCCCCCTCTTGATAAGACACCTCCAATGATCACTTACCGTACTTTGAATCTTGTCTACTGCATTGCTTCTATAATCTCCCGTAGCATTATACTGCTTTAAAGCTTTCTCATAATTATTCTTAAAGCTGTCCTTAATCTATAGCAAAGAAACACAAGGCCAATAAACAAAGTCAAATAAGAAATTCCTACATCTGACAGCAGCAATATGCATGGTAATTAACTTCTATGGACCAATCCTGTCCTTCAAGGGATATAGTTTAGCCGAGGGGACTACTAATGTTTGTAAGCAAAACATTACAATAAAAGATGATAACCGCTACAAGTTCAAAGTGCTATGGGAGCATGTATTTATTCAAGTGGCAGCTCTGTACTGCTGTATTCACCCCACCCCAATCTTTATCCAGTTTTAATAGCACAAATTTGATGCCTATGGAATGTTTAAGCTACTTCACTTTGGGAGGATGCACTACCACATTGTAAAAAATACTCTCATTGATGAGCCTTCACTACTCACTGAATCATTTAGTAGCCCCAGGCTTAAGAGAGTGGAATGCTGATTCCTAATTCAATATTAAGGTTTTCATGATGTGCATTAAGTATATCCAGTCTTTTCTGTGTGGCATAAATGGAGATGGTATCAATTTTGTGCTTTAAATAGTTTCCTATCCAAGTTATAAACTGTACCATCTCCACTTTAATAGGTACTTATACACAGAAAAATTACTAGAAATACATGTAATTATGGGCATCTTTAATTTTGTTCTGGTGATTGTTAGTCTTCACCATTTTTTAAAATTTTCTTTTATATTAAAAGTGGACTAGAATTTTTACAAGAAAGCCATTCTTGTTAGCTATGAGTTGCAAAAATAAGGCTTTAAAACACAACTGTAAGTGATTTTTAAACTAGTCAAAGTTGTCTTTAACTCTGTGATTTAAATGAATCCATTTTTATCTCCTAAACTCTGGCTTACCTCATGTCTGAAAACAAATCCAACAATGGCAGCGACCAGTTCAACCAAAAAAATGAGAGTCAGAAACATTGCATACTGCAGGATAAAAAAAAAGTCTAAGTCAGCATAAATTAGATACATCACAACAGCAAAGGGAGTCAAGGGAAAATGGTCTCTTCAATCAGCGTGTTTTTTATTGAAAAGGACAGGGAAAGCACAACAGAAGTGGTAACTGGCAGCTGAACTATTACTTGGTAAGTTTTCATAAGGAACCAGAGAAATCTTAAAAGGCCATGGCCAGTTCCAAAAAAGCAAAGCCCACTTCTAAGGAAAATAAGGACTCACCAGTTTTAGCATCCACGCAGAAGCTCGGCAGGTAGCAAAACAGCCAAAGGTGCCCAAAAGAATGATGACAGTGCCAGTGCCGATGAGCACGAAGGGAACATTGGTGGCCTTCTCATTTAAAAGGGAGAAATAATTCTCCAGGCTCACCTTGCCCCAAATGCCAACGGCAAGAAGGATAACACCAGTGATCTATGTGGGAAATCAGAGAATAAAAAGTTATACACTGATTTGAATAGACTTAAAAGTGATTTATGTATATTCAAACCACAAACCACTAGGTATTTAAGTAACAATAGGTGTGACAATTATTTAGCAGTCCATGGCCACAGAGCTGTGGCTGGGATGTACCAGACAAGGAGGGGGAGGGGTGTAAAGGGGATCTGCTCAAAAGGGCAGGCCTTTATAAATCCACAGCTGGATCATTTTAGGCAGCCCAGGTAGCCAGGGTGAAGCCAGGGGGCAGCTAGAGAAGGCAGCTTAATAAAATCCTTAAACTTCATCTGTTTTGCTGTATAAACACAAACCCAGGGTATACTTGCCCGAGGGATCAAAAGTTTCTTAACTGTCTTACTCCTGCTTAATAAAACCTTCCTGGAGGGGCGGGGTATTTTTATGAATTCCAGAAACTTCCCCTTCCCCCAACATCAGCGATGAGTACAAAGGGATGGTACACAAAAGCAAGTCCAAGGATAGATTGGCGGGAATGGGGCCATTACCATACTTACCTGTGAAATACTCCCCTCTTATGAAGCAGTGAAAAGAAAGAGACTATTATGCAAGCAAAAGCCCTCAGAGTGGCCAGCCCAGCCCTGCTTCTCTAAAGGTCCGGGGACACCCTCTGCATACCCTGGAGGGTAAACTCCCTTCCTCGCCGCCCCCCTCCCCACCCCACCCCGCATCGAATTTGAATGCTGGGCACGTCTGGGTTCCTCAGTTCAGCCTACCGGCCGCCGCCAGTCCGCACCACGACCCCGGCAAGGGCGAGATGCACGCGCTCAAGCCCCAGCAACTCGTCGCCTGAGTCCCCACAGCACCTCTGCCCAAATCTCTCCACCCCATGTCTCCCCTGGAATCCCGGACCTGAGCTCCCTCCGCTCAGGGTCACACCCCCAACCCAAACCCAGGGTCCCCTCTCGTTCCCGGGCGTCTCCGTCTCTCACCCAGAATATGAAAGTGTAGATCAGAAGGACGCTCTTCAAACAAGTGATGACTGGTTTAGTCTGCAGTCTGCGAGACGGGGACGCCATGACTAGCCCTGGACCCTGCCCGCCGAACTGGGGATCAGAGCCGAGGAAGCGAAAAGCGGCGTCCCCGAGTCTCCCCGGAAACTGCCGAGCACTTACGAGCGTCCGCAACTGAGAAGAGCCGGAAACACTGTTCAGTTTCTAGAGGGCGAAGTCCTGAAGGTTGCCCGGAAAGTGCGACAATTTCCGAGCGCCCCCTGCCGAAGGTTACTGAAAACTATATACAAAGGTTCTAGTGTTGGGAATTTCTTAGATCTTTCAGTGTACCTGGCTTCCTTTTTGCACTAAAAATCTTCCCCGGTGCCCCCCTCGCCCCGCCTCTCCGCGGTTCTTATAACTTCATGTTTCTATCATCATCAGCGCCCGCGCTGAGATTCGGCCTCGTCGGCCCTTAGTGCCCTAGAAGGAAAGAAAAGAGTAAAAAGTTACAAGTGACCTAAGAACATTTTCATTACATGGCAAAATACCCACAAGAAATGTATTTCCAAGGAGGAAGCGGGCTGCGAAGCGATACATGCAGTCACACGTTTTGAGACAAAAACTGAAGGGAAAAGTGCGATTTACTTGAGGGGCAGGATTAGGCTGCTTTGTTTCTCACTTGTTTTGTGCTTTTCAATTTTTGAGCATTGTTTTATGTGGTGGGGAGAGAGTATAAAAATGAAAGGATTGTGAGAAATAATCGCTTGTTGAAAGAATTCCAAGCTAGGTATGACAGATTGATAATACATTTTAGAATTTCCTCTTCTCATTCTCTAAGTAATTGGAAAGTTGAGGGGAAAGTGTTTAAAAGTAATTAATGCTGAAGCGGAAGTTCAGCCATTAGGGAAAACTTTTAAAAAGGGAAGGTGCTACAGAGAATGCCAGGTAAATGTGATCCCCTTTTAAATGTTAAAACTGAAAGGCACACTATATTCCAACCCCTGGGTTTTCAGATCAAGAACCAGCTGATCATAAAGAGGCTGACATCTAAGGTCACACAGCTAATAGCAAAACCAAAATTTACTGTGCTAGTATTATTTTTCCTTTTAAATCATATGTGTAGGTAGCTCCATGTCCCCATGTTATGTTTCATGAACACAGAACATGTAGTAAGGTCTGGTTCCTCAACTAAAGTGTAAGCTCTTTGAAGGCAGAGGCTGATAGTCTAGTGAGTGGGTGTTATTGCTAGAGGACCACAGTTGCCTAGCCAACTGACACAAGCTTAACATCATAAATGGGCATTGAGTAGTTTGCTATGGCAAAAAGTGAAAGAGAGACGAATGCCCAAACCTTTTTACTTGAAACCTTGCTTTAAACGTATACCAGAAAACAGGAATGTTCCATTGATTTGGTCACACAGAGCTTCCCTGTGCTTCAAATATTGACCTAGGACCAGCTCCTTTTAGCATCCTGCCAGATGTCTGAGGCCCTAGAGAGCAACTATTGGAGAATGAATTACTTGTACTGCCAGGCTTTACCCTAGAATTTTATCCTAAAATTACAAAAGCCTAATACATAAATACATGCAGAGAATGGGTAAATGATACATCTATAATCCTATTAGCACTGAGGCAAGGTCACCAGGAAATATACCATAGCATACATCACCTTTTCAAGTACCACATATGCCAAAGCTACAGGAAATAACTGTAAGGGGGACTCTAAGTGTATATTATATAAAGATTTCTTCTAAGGCTAGATAATATTCTCTGAGAGGTTCTCCTATCAAATAAGTATCAAGGGAAATCCTGCTAATTCCTTGTCATCTTAAATGGAAGTTTCCTCTGAAATTTAGGTTTGTACAGTGTCCTGGAAGGGATTTTCGTTGTAAGCCCCAGAGCAAAGAAATATTTTTGTGGCTGAAGAAAAAACAAAATAGTCAAAGCAAAAGCCACATCTTATTTCCAAAAATGTGTTGATTTTTCTCTTCTCCCTTCCTCTGACACTCACAACGCTGCTTTGTTTGAATAGCAGTCAGTGCCAAATTAAACCAGAAGCTGACGTGGAATTTAATATTCTTGTGGCCACAACACCTTGCACCTCTGTCTCCCACCCTGCTACACCCCCAGCCCCACCATGCCACCAAACTCAGTTCAGTTTAGTTCAAATTTAGGTGTGGGTTTGAGTCCAAACCCAGATCAAAGAGGCATCTAATCACATCTAAGGCAATATAAGAAGTAATTCTCTAGGTCAGAAGATAAATTTATTCTTTAAAGTATTAATGATGACTGTAGCATTGACCATTGGCTATGTACCAACCACAGTTGCTAAGCACTCAACATGTGTCACAATATATATACATCATAAAAGCCATTATTGTGATGTCAAGACTACTACTGGCAGCAACTTACAGATGAAGAAACAGGTTCAGAGAGGCTAAGTACCTTGCTTAGAACTAGCCCTGCCAACTTCTATTTCCATCAGAAACAGGACTCTCTGTAATGAGACATGGCTGCCATTGTATAAACGGCCGTCTCGGCTGGGAATAACCCTACCAAAGACTGCTGTACTCAGACATTTAGCCATGAAAAAGGGCTCTTTGGAGCCCTTGAAATACAAGAACCTCAATCATTTCCCCAATTTTGCCTTGTATTTGGAGTTTTTTGTTGAGTTTTATTTTTGCCTTCACTCTAATAGCCCAAATACCTAAAAAGTTACCCTTTCACTTCCCAGAGTGGCGTGTAGAGCATTCAGTACTTTTTCTGGTTCAACCTCTTAGTTTCTCCCTCTTCCTAATTACAAAAACACGTTTGGTACTGGAAATGTGGGAAACAAGGAGAATATTTTCTTAACTATTGTTGCTGCTTGTTTTACATTAAATATTTAGTAGGAATCTTTGTACCTACCTTATTAACTTCCTGTAACCTTGGAGATTAGGTTTACTTGTTTTTCTTCGGCATTTAAACTATGCTTCCCCCAGCAAATATGGTATCAACTTATTTCCTACTGCTTTTCCAATGTTAAATAGACACATTATGATTATCTCCCCAATAAACAAGACATTCCCTATTCCCTTCCCACCCTCCTGCCTTACTCAAAATTTCTGCCCCCTACTTAAGTACTTAAGGTTAAACTCAACCCCAACTCAAAGAGATCATCCTTTCTCCACCACCAATACAAATCCCCATTCCCCCACCACTGCTCCTCCTTCCCACTTCCCACCTCTCCTCACCCCAACCCCACCCCTATCTTCCCCCACCTCCCATCTCCCATTACCCCTCCACCTCCTCTCACCCCCTCATCACCCCACACACATACCTTTCTCTAACATCAGTACCCAGTCTGACCACTCACATTAACTCAGACACTTAGTTACTACAGTACCTGGTACTTGTTTTCTTCTCTACTTACCTATAATATGCCCTGCTGCCTACATGTTCAGAAACTACTTGAAGAGCCAGTGTGCCAGGCTTATTCACCCCCTTTTATACTCTCCCAGCACCCTAGGACACAATGCTCAATTGATGACCTCATTTGGTGCTCAGCCAATCCCTGTTGAGCTCACTGGTCAGAGCTGGTCTGTGAGGCTAATCCCTTAGTAGCGACTCAGATTTGATTAATTAAGTTAAATTTTAAAAATTAAATGTCTAAGCCATCCCAATATCATATTGTCATAAAACAGAAAAATTAAGTTGAACTGCTGCATAATGTCTTGGGACATTACTACACTCTGTCTTAGGAATCAGTAAAAAGAATACATTTTATCTCTTATTTACATAAAGAGCTTTATCACTTTGATTTTTCTAATACCTTTTCTAGAATCCCTTCAATTACCTTTGTCTAAGTGCCTATCATAAAATTTTAAAGTACCTCCTACTTATTAAAATCTCATTTTACATTACTACCACCAGATAAACATCATTTAAACACATAATTCAAACATCATCATTTAAATAAATAATTCATATGTACAGTTTTAAAAATCAGTTTCCTAAATAGGAATATCTTTTATTTCTATTGTCTCTTACATATTCTCATTATTCCTTCTCTGAAATTCTTTTCTGTGACTATTTTTCATTCATTGTTTTTCCATTCACTCCTTTCAGATTATCCATGAATCCTTTCCTCCTTTTTCAGTCATGATCTTGCCTTCTTCAAAAAAAGCTCATCGCCGTAACCGGTTTGGCTCAATGGATGGAGCGTCAGCCTGCAGACTCAAGGGTCCCGGGTTTGATTCCGGTCAAGGGTATGTACCTTGGTTGCAGGCACATTCCCAGTTGGGGGTGTGCAGGAGGCGGCTGATCGATGTTTCTCTCTCATCGATGTTTCTAACTCTCTATCCCTCTTCCCTCCTCTCTGTAAAAAATCAATAAAATATATATTTTTTAAAAAGAAAAAAAAAGCTCATACTATACAACTTGGGACACATAGAAATGAGAAATACTCTTAAATAGTATTGAAATTCACAATTCCAGGTCGATTTTCATTAGTCCCTTTTCTAAGAAAGTTGTGTCTAGTCTAGCTTGATAAGCTTTGCTGAGATCTCAGCTAGGCAAGTCAGTCACTAAATCTAATTTTTTCTTAAAACGATACCTTGCCTGGCTGGTGGCTCAGTGGTTGAGTGATGACCTATAAACCAAGAGATCACGGCTCTATTCCCAGTCTGGGCACATGTCTGAGTTGCGGTCTTGAACCCCAGTGGGGGCTGTGTAAGAGGCAGCTGATCAATGATTCTCTCCCATCATTAATGTTTCTATCTATCTCTCCCTCTCCCTTCCTCTCTGAAATCAATAAAATTATATTTTTTAAAAACAATATGTTATTAACTCTGAGGAGCTTCATATTAAAAATCTTGAAGTTGAAAATGATACTGAACTTTAAGAAGTTTAAGAAATTTATATTTTTCAGTGCTGTTATTTTCTTTGTCTTTGTCTTATCTTCCCCACCAAATTATATGGACAGGTGTTTTATTTGACTTTACATCCTTAAAGTGCCTAACAGTATTATCCACACAGAGTAAATGCTGAAGAAATGTTGTGGGGTTTTTTTAATTAACCCTGCTTGTTTTGGGTAAGCTCTTTATATATATTATGCTTCACAGAATGCTGTCCCTCTTCTCTCATTTATCCCCTTACTTTGTTCTCTCTATGATTTCCATATTCTCCCCCCTTCTCTTTCTTCTTTAAACACTCTCTGCCACCCCTTTGTCTTTTCCTTCCA